ACTAAAACGCACCCGGAAGTCGCCACAAACAAGTGCCTGGTCAGAGTCCACGCTCGTACTCCAAATCGAGCGACAGTTTTGGACGCAGCCACTCCAGTGGTAACTGATCGCAATGTGTCCGATTTGCGTCCATGGCTACTCCGAAGCTGGTGGGGGCCATGTCACCCTCCGGCGGGTGCTGTGTCAGAAATTAGTGTTCGCAAGTAAGAGGCGAGCATCTTCACACAGGTGTAGGAACCGCTCACCGTTATCATTACGGGAGCCTACATCGTTTTGACCGCCCAGATGATGTTCATCAGAGGACAATTTTCTGACTCGGGCGTTCAAAGCACTAGCGAGCACCGCAGTATCCGTACCTTTTCTGTGACTGGGAAGCGCGTTTAATTGGTGATATAAGTCGTCTTTCACCGAATCAGTGTCACAATTTGTGGGCGCGTTGGCCGCAGTGACAATCGAGCACCTTTGGTTCCCACGCAACTTCGATGCTTTGGACGAGCCAGCCAATCTGACAGCGCACACCTGGCTGTCCGTTGAGATCCAATCAATCAAGGCAGATTCAGCCTGGGGGCTAAGAGCTACATAGCACAGCCTAGTCCGGAAAAGCACCAGACGCGTTTCACTCTATTGGGGCTCGTCAGTAGTGCGCATTCCCTCGGTCCCCTACTGGGGATCGAACCCATGACCGCTAGAGACCGATGCCAGCTAGCCAGCAGCTTAAGCCACTGAGCCGTGGGGATGTTGACTGAGCTACATAATTCTTCTAGTAATACTTCTAGTTGTTTGTCCAAGGAAGGCCGGTAGATACAACTGCGTGCTAGTGCTTTCGTTCGGCTTATTTCAGGGAGACCAGCGTGAAATTGTTCTAGTACCTTGGCTTGCAGAACCTTGGAAACCACAACTCTATCTGCAAAATGAATGCAGTCATCCATACTAGACGGTGCATATCTTCTTTGGTAGAACTGTTGAAGGTCAAATGATGTACATGTGGTGGTAATGGGCAACTTGTTTAAGTAGTGGATCCTGGAGGGTAGCATGGTGAACGCATCTGAGTTAACCGGAAAATCGTTCAAGACCTCATTTATAACAAATGCAATGTCTGGTTCCGTTGCTACGGTTTAAATCACAGTGTCTTCTTGGTTCTGTTGGTGAGGTCCTATGAGTCGAGATAAAGCGTCTGCCTGACCAAAAGTCGTAGTTGACTGATAACGTATGTCGAAATCATAGGCTAACCGTGTGAGTGCCCAACGCTGCAGGCGATTAGCTGTGTACACTGGAATTCCTTTTTTTGGAGCCAAAAGCGGTCAGCAATGGTTCATGATCAGTCAACAACGTCAAATAGCGGCTGGCTAAAGCTCGATCGGCATTTGTCAATTTGAGGCACTTGTGGCGTCCTCGCGACGTCTCATTCTCACTAAAGGGCCGAGTTTACAGTGCATCAGTTCGCTCAATATTGTTGTATGGGTGCGAGTCCTGGCCGCTTCGCGTGGAAGACATGCTTCGTCTTTCTGCGTTCGATAACGGTTGCTTAAGGAGGATCGCGCGTGTTTGGTGGCAACATCGAGTTAATAGTAATGACGTTCGACGTCGCATCTTGGGGAATGCGAGTATCCCCTTCAACAAACTGGTTTTGTTGCGCCAGTTGAGATGGCTCGGTCACGTTCTACGCATGACACCTGAGCGTCTACCGCGTCGCGCTCTATTCGCTCGTCAAGGACCTGGCTGGAGGCGACCGCGTGGTGGTCAGCCTTCCACTTGGCGGCAGCACATGAAATCGCTGACGTCGTGTCTAGCCGCTGTAGGATCCGTACATCTTCCGAGATGGGGACGCAAAGATGAGGAGTGCCAATGGCTTAGCACTCTTGAAGATATGGCCCGCAACCGGAATCAATGGAAGAATTGTGTACATTATTGTATTGATTCACATGTTTAATTCTACAAACATTAAAATGACAAAAAAAGAACAAAAGCGGCGTGTGAAAAACAAACTAAAAAGGTTTTGTTCTGCTTTTTATCAAAATGTTCCATTCTTCCTGCGGCATATTAGTTGAAGTGTGTTGCTCACCTTCAACTAGCATGCCACGATGATTATGACGCCATGAATCTTGCTTATCTCCTTATCTCCATGGTTTTAGGCTGACTCTTTGTCTAGCTAATAGCCTGTTGAGAATACATACATACATACATAATAGCGGCCATACATCGTCTTGTGCAATTTCTTTGCAGCATATATAATAGCCAGAGCCTCTTTTTCAATCTGACTATAGTTTTTCTTAGCGGTTGTGATGGATCTAGCAGCATGTGCAATAGCCTTTTGAGAACCGTCTGCATAAGTATGGGATAATGACTGCACCGATTCCCTCATCGGATGCACCTGAGGCTACAACAATGTCCCGAGAGGGATCATAATGTCTCAACAATCCACTGATAGGGTCTCCAGTGTCCGGGCAAGTACTGTTTGTGTGCCAGTTAGCAAAAAGTGCGCACATTGAGACATGCCAGTCTTAGGGCGCACCAAGGGTTTCAAATAGAAGCAAATGGACTGACGTTGTCCGTTTGGTTGGCCGTACGTCTTCCAGGATGGGGACCCAAAGATGAGGAGTGCCAATGGCTTCCCACTCTTGAAGATATGGTCCGCAATCGGAATCAGTGGAAGAATTGTGTACAGTATTGTATTGATTCACATGTTTAATACTACAAACATTGACAATGACAAAAAAGTGAAAAATCGGCATGTGAAAAACAAACTAAAAAGGTTTTGTTCTACTTTTTGTCAAAATGTTCCATTCTTCCTGCGGCATATTAGCTGAAGTGTGTTGCTCACCTTCAACTACCATGCCACGATGATTATGACGCAGTGACTTCCCCCTATCTGCTAACCTCCATAACTTTGTTGGCTCTATGTCTAGTTGCTAGGTGGTTGAGAATACATATTGGCTGGACATGAACTTACCGACCTTACCGGATCGACGCCCTGCGACTGTATGTGAATCGAAATTAGAAGATAAACGATTACTGAGCAAAAATGGGGTGGGCCAAGAATTGGGAGAGTGAAAACAGGGGGAATAAAAGTGAAGTTGGAACGGGACGATAAAGATGAGCAAGCACAAAAAGGGGAATAAAAAGAAGGGAAGTCTTGAGCAGTAGCATCTAAACCGCTATTCATCCTGCTCGATGCAGTAAATAGGGCGCCGTTTATTATCCTCTGCGACGGCCAGAGCATCAAGGGAATGTTTGCAAGGGATGTCATATCGTTGTATTGCGTGTGCTGGATACTGTCAGTTTGCCCAAGCCTAGACAGGAGAACGATTCGGGTTCTCAACTAAAGTCTTTGGTTCAAAAACCTTACCACCAGTCAGCGAGATTTCGGCGCTGGGCTATAGAGAGCCCGTTTTCTTGAGTATGAAGCCACCCTCACTTCTACCCCCAAGCTGCAGGGAGGCGCACATGAGCACTGGTCAGTTAGCGTCTGTGATTTAATCCCTCATGTCCTTCTCCCATTGGTTGTCTATTTCCTCTTTTGGTCCATCTATTCGCTCTGATAGAACACTCCCATCATGCTGCTTGGAAAAAACTAACTATTTGCGACCATACATGAGTGCTGTCTGTTTGCTCGGGTCCGCATGCAGATATCTGCTATGGCTTCTGCCTTTACCCACGGACGCTGTTTGAATCCCTTAGTGTCTCGGTTCGGTACAGCATAAAACACTTTAGATGAGTCACTTGGTGTAACATTACGCCTGGTTGTCAGGTGCTCCAATATGCAGCTGTGCACTTTCCACATAGCTCCTTGTTGCAACGACGTATGGCCGCGTTCCGCTATCCGCATCGACAGATGCATGGTCACATATTCGAGGTACGTTGCATTACTGACCCAGACTGACGCGGATATAGAACAAATGTCTCGAATTTAATCTAGCATCTGTCTTTAAATCATTAATTAATGAGCTGACCGATTTCGGCACGCATACGGACCTTAACCATTGGGGATGCGGCCGAACTTTTCTGTTCTTCTTTGAGAGGCCGTTCTTTTTCGCAATCAACTGAGCACTATGATGAGTCTAAACATCGGAATGCTATTTGATGACCGTAGAAGGGTGGCCACTGCTTTCTAGGGTTACATTCCTTTTCATTTCCAAACCTTTCTGGGCTTAAAATTCTGGTGGCCTGATAGTACTGACAAAGTCCTAAATTCCTCTTACCTTTCATGAATGCAGCATTATGAGGGTGCACATACTGGTCCACCCATTTTGTAAACACTTTTTTCGAACGCTCCACCCTCTTTTCGCCTCAGCAACACGTCCAGAAATGTCAGGTTGCCCCTATTCTCAATCTCGCAAGTGAATTTTAATAGTAAATGCGCCGTGGCAAAGTTGTTCCTTAGATGGGTGTGTTCAGTGTTGGAATCACAAACGATGAATCTTTTATCCACGTTCTCATAGTGCCGTTGGGAGCTTTCGGATGTTCTATTTTACCATGAACCGCTCTGGAAAGTGTAACGATAGGTAGCTCAACCGCTTTTCTGCGTGTACTGCTTTGACATTTGCAGTCCGTGTGCTTTTGAAAGACAGCCTGTCAGGGTAACAATCCCATGTGTGTTTTGCGTTGATAACACTTCCCTTTCTATACAAGCAAGGGTTCATTCGACTTTGGACACTTTACCACTATTGTTTTTATTATTCCTATTATCCTGGTGATATTGATTTCGATCTTCGGTGCTCCTACAGCGCTAAATCGAGCTACTGTTCTTTTCCCTCGCTTCTGCCTTATCCAGCGATGCTTAGGAGGGACACCGCATTACATTGATGTTCGTTCGGCAACCTGTGGCTCCTACTTTTTCATACCTAATTATGGTGCATATATCCGCATCGTTAACAACGCAGCCAACTGAAGTAGAAATTTCTTATCTCTGTGTGTGTGTGTATGCTCCTGACCTCACTTGCATATATCTCCACGTGTAACCTGAACTCCACTGACGATGCATGCGCTTGTGTTCCGGACAGGTTGGAACAAAACCCGGACCATTTGGTGGAGACCAAGTCAGCACTGCGCACCCTCATCTCGCTGACCGAGCGGTTGGTCACCTGCGGCGCGGTGGAACTTCGTCCGAAAGCCGGTGCGGGGGAGCAGATTCACGTTATACCTGGGTTTCGTGTGCCCATGCCGAAGACCGGTAGTAAGTCGATGGCTGTGTTAACGAAATAAATTGATGGTATGCACATGCCACTCGCGATAATTCGCGCACACACACACACACTGTGCGTTCCGGCCGATCGCATATTTCAAGCGGCACAATGCGCCTCATGTTTCACGTCTTTTTACGACTGGCGTTAAGTCGTACATTTCCCAATGATGACCAGTTATTCTATTACGCAAAGCCCCGGTGTTCCCCTTCGCGATGAGACTGGGCATTAATGTGGTGCGACAGTTTGCGTGTCTCAATAATGCATTAAACTATGCTAGTGGGGTGCTTTCACACCTTCAGAGCCACTCATATCCGATTGGTCAATGGTTAGAGACCTGACTAACTCAGTCTCTTGGCTCTCTCTGTAAAACGGACTCTCTGTAGCTAAGTGCCAAAACCCCGTTGCCTTGTGATCAGGTTATTGAACCAAAGGATTTGGTTGAGAATTCTAATCGTTCTCCTGTCTAGGTTTGGGCAAACTGACAGTATCTTGCCCACGCAGTGCAATACATTGATTCTCTTCACGCGATTTTCTGTTGTCCTGACCGTCGCAGAGGATAATCAACAGTTCCTTGTCTGCTGCGTCGAGCAGGGTGGATGCGGATGAGAAGACCACTGCTCAGGCCTCCTCGTCTTCTTATTCCCCTTCTCGCGCTTTTTCATCCTTATCGTCCCGTTCCAACTTCACTTTTATACCTCTGTCCTTAACCCCCGAATTTCTGGCACTCCCCCATCTTACTTCATTAGGCGTTTGTCTTCTATTATCTATTCACACGTAATCGCAGGACTTCGTTCCTGTGCAGTCACCCAGTCCAAGCCCATGTTCCACTATTGGTACGTCAGTTCATCCATACCTTTTTGGAGCCCTCGCTACCCACTAAGACTTGCGTGTCTCAATTTGCGCACATTGTTGCATATCGATCAACAGGCCGTACTTTCCTGAACACTAAAGATCCTATTCATCGATATCTGCTGTTTATCGGAAATCTGCCTACAAGATTCGACCTCTATGTTCACCCTGCAATCCTTCACGTGTGATGCTGGTAGAACTTTCTTATTGCACTTGTTTAGAGAGAACACCTTCAACTCCCAGGTCAATTCGGTGTAGGCATTGCTCTGAGACCCTGGGCTGAAGCTGTCCTCATCGATCGAATCCCAATCGAGATCCGAACGTGTGCCCTCAGATTGTCAGACTCGTTCAAAGCTTTGAAGTTGCGCGTGGACAAACGGTGCCTGTTTGTCATCGCTGTATACGCGCCCACAAACTTTAGCAATGACTCGATGAAAGACAACTTCTATCACCAACTGTATGAGCTCCTTCATTACAGGAAATTACGGATACTGTGGGGCTGCTTGTTGCCCTGAACGCCCGTGCGGCCAATTGTTAACGTTTAAGTCGGCGTTGCATTGACCGCATCTTCACATTACGCCAGTTGTCGAAGAACTGCCATATTTATTGGTGACCCACCCCAGTCATGTACTTTGACATCAAAAATTCTTTTAATTCGGTGGATTGGTGTGCTATTTGGGACCGTGTGCTAACGAACGATGTTCCCAATGAATTTGTACACATTATCAGAATGCTGTACGCGCATATTTCGGAGGAGTAGACAATTATCGCAAGCTCTTCTCATCGCGAGGTGACTGTACGTTCACGTGGTGCAATGGTTTGTGTGCCTCAAAGACCCATTGAGTTATGTTGGATGATGCTTCTTGCACCGTCAGAGCCACTCATACCAGATTGGTCGACGGTTAGAGGCCACACAGACTGTCTTTTGGCCCTCTAGGTTGGGGGTTGAATAATGGTGGCTCCTTACTCTATAAAACGGACTCTTTGTATCCCAGTACCAAAACCCCGCTGTCTTGTAGTAAGGTTTTTGAACCAAAAGCTTTGGTTGAGGACCCTAATCGTTCTCCTGTCTAGGCCTGGGCAGACTGACAGTATTCTACCCACGCAATACAACGATATGACTTCTCCTTCAATTACTCCCTTAGTGCTGCGGCCGTCTTCATCATCCTCATCAGTACACGTTAGCTGAGGGTGTGAAAGACACCTCAGCTGATGTGTTGCAGTACAAAAAAATAAGAGACTTACTTTTACACTACAAATTGCTACAAATATCTGATGTTAACTATTACATTATGCGTTTTGTATGCAATCGGAATGGAAGGAGGAACCTAAAGGGAGGCGGATGGACATAGCAACTCCTAACACAAATGCCATTGGGGCTGCCTCTTTGCCATCTCAAAAAGTGTGTCCAACCAAACGTGTTCATCGTCTTTAGGACCTCAACCAGACAGTCGGATTGCACCAACCGACGCCGACTTCAAAGTGAGGGTCTTCATTTTACTGTACCAAGTCATCGCTTGATCTCCCATCATCCTCTTTCAACCGCAACCCCGGCGCGCAGACAAAGCACGTTGCGGGAGTCGGTGTGCTGGCATGCGTAACACAGCCCAGCCATCACACCATGGGGCGTGATATAATGGTGCTGAGCGGTTCATTCGCTCCTCCTGTACCAAATACGCGACGCCGAACACGCTCATTGCTCATGCGGTGCCCCCACCAGACATGAGCTAAGCTGCGAAAGCAGCGATGGTCGAACGTCGCTAGCCTCTTTAAGTTTTTCGACCTGACGGGCAAGGTTTCCCAACCGTGTAAGAGAGTTGAACGGACGGCTACATTCTAAGCTCTGCCCTTCAGGGTGAGAGTAATGTCGCGTCTGCGCCACAGGTGGCGGAGGTTGGCAAAGACACATCGAGGGATGGGTCCCTGCCAATCTTGGGGAACTACTTAACATTTCGATGGAGCAAAGCATAGCCCAAAGACGGTAGACAGCTAGTGCTGATCGGCCCAATGCTGCTTGGCATGTTTAGGAGCTGTCACAGATTACGGCAATATCGTCCACATACTCGCAGTCGAGAAGACGCTCATCAGGTAGTAGCTACACACCTTCTATATCGTGTCCAGCGAATGCTGTTTCCATGACTTCGTCAACTGCGGTTACAGCGAGCGACTTTCTCCCACAACGCTAGTGTTACTGCAGGATTGCGATCGTTTGCCACAAACCCTCATTGCGACCAAAATATGCGCCTCCAGCGCTTTGCTAATTTTTACGTATTTATCAGGCACACTTTTGTGAACAGACAGTCGTCAAAGGCACATCGATCAACTGAATAGAGGGCACCTTTGATATCGAGAAATACTACAACAGTGGGTCAGCAATAAACATGGCGGTGCTCGGACACATGACGTAATGTGCAGATTTGGTCGATGCAGCCTATGTTTCCACGAAACCCGGCTTGCTGCTCGCAAATATGACAATCACGAGTGTCAGTCAGTCAGTGCAGAACGACAGAGCCAAGCAAATTGGAGGCAATTGAGATCAGACTGATACCTCTTTGATTGCCGCATTCCAAACGGGAGTTTCCTTAGAAAATTGGGACAACGACGCAGCGCTTCCAGTCTGTGGGGACTGTCTCCTGCTCCCAGAGTGTTACTAGCAACTCGTGTAAATCATCTACTAGAGCAGATCCCCCAATTTGAACAGGGCTGGGGAAATACTAATTGCCTCACGGCCTTATTCATTTTCAACAGTCTGACCTCACGTTCGCCTTCTACGTGTGTTGGAGGATTCGCATAGACGGCCCAGCAAAAAGCGCGCTCAATACCCGAAAAATAAAACGATAATTTAGGTTGGTTAAATTGCCTTACAAAGTGTTCGACATAACGCCCAAGCGTTTTGACTGGCTGTGGATCGGCTATCCACTCCCGTCGCGTATGGTCTAGCTAACACCAGGTCTCCTGCTGCCTGTTTCCCCTATCAGACGGAATAACTTACGGTGATTACCAACCGCAACAGCTGTTTCCATTTCCGATGCACGATAAAACCACCAAGCTTCGTGGTCTTTATTCAGGCTACAACGCAGTATCGCGCTGAGAGCTTTGCGAGTCACATCACATTCCTTTCCAGCCGGAATATCTCGGCGAGCATCCAGAAGTTTCAGAGACTGTGTGGAGACCCAATGTCCAGTTTGGCAATTTTATTTCCCACACGAAGACATGCCTGCTGATAGTAACGGTTGGTGAATATGCGACCAGTGATCTTCGACAGTGTTCAGTGGGCGCTTACTCAGCCCGGATGTCAGCGCACTTTGATACACATTCGGAACACCTGCATTCGCCAGCTGATTGGACTCTACGCGCATAGCGACGTTGCGGACGTCCACCGATACGCACCCGAAAATTGGCACACCCAAGAGTGTGCTCGGAGTCTACGCTCGTACTCCAACTCGAGCGAAAATTTGGGATGCAGTCTCCAGCGTTAACTGATCGCGATGTGCTCGATTCACGTCTATGGCTATTGGTTGCCCAGTCACTCTTCAACGAGTTCTGTGTCGAAAGTTAGTGCTCGAGATAAAAGGGGCGCATCTTCACACAGTGATAACAACCGTTCACCGTTATCATTACGAAAGCCCACGCCATGTTGGTCACCCAGATGAAGCTCATCAGACGAAAATTTTCCGACTTGAGCGTTCAGATCACAGGCAAGCACCATGATGATATCGGCACATTTTCTGTAACGCGGGTGCGCGTTCAGTTGCTGGGAGATTACATCTCTCACCGCATCAGTGCTGCAGCTGTTGGGGGCGTAGGTCGCAATGACAAACAGGCACCGTTTGTCCAAGCATGATTTCGAAGTGTAGAACGAGCAAGCTAGTCTAACGGCGCACATCCGGTTATGGACTGGGATCCAATCAATCGGAGCAGCTTCAGCGCGGGGTCTCAGTGCAATGCTCACATCGACTTGACCGGCACTGGAAGCTGAGTCATCTCAAGACAGACGCAATGAGAATGTGTCGCCAGTGTCGCATGTCAGAAATTCAGGGTAAGCACAGAGCTCGAATCTTGCAGGCGGGTTTCTGATAAATAGCAAATATGGATCGATAGGGTCTTTAGTGTGCGGATAAGTGATGTTTGTTGACCAATC